AGGTTTGAATGTTCTTGCTGCTTTTGCAGCTGTCTTTGGGTCCTGGTTTCCATGCCTCCCTGCATCCATGTACCCACATTTCAAGAATTTTTCTTCCTATCAGCTTGATGTGCTTATATTTCAGATTACTGTTGGGTTTTTTTTCCTCTGCACTTTAAATGTATTTTGTCTGCTTAATGAATTCCTTTGAGAAAGTACACTGAACATAGAGACCTTGGTGCATTGTTCCCTCTTTGGAACAGTGCTTTGTCTGAAAGTCAAATTTATCAGGAAAGATTATTCAGGAGAGCTGCTGGGATTAATGTTGCTCGTCAATTGCACATGCATAAAACCACCTGACAGTTTTAAAACCTTTAAAAAGGCATTCTAGTTCATTTTCCTTATTCTGAGCTGGGTTTATGAGTTTCCTAGTGATGTTATTTATTGCTGATTTTTGCTCCTGAAGCACAGGATACTTGGAGATCTAAGGCTATAAAAGGGGATGGCTCATACAATAGTGGAGGATCTTCATGAGCAGCCTCATCTTTGGATGAGCAGTAACATGGTTTCCAGAGTGAGGAGCTTGTGATGCCTGGGACCACTGTATTATCTTTTCTTGGAGACATTGTCTTTCTTCAGCCTCTCACAGGCCTGTTTGGCTGCCATGGGCATTGTGGAGACCGTCATGTTTTCAATTTGTGTTCTACAGTCTGCTTAAATACTTGAGTGAAAGAATATAGCTGAGAGCCCCACAGAAAGGTGATCTTTTCTCATGAAAGGCTTCTGCTCTTCAGAACTTAAAGCCAAATATCCAAGGAGAAATGAACCACCAAGGTTGTGATGGGCAGTCTGCTGCCTTTATGAAGGATATTTAAAGGACTTTATGTGGTGTTCATTCTACATGTGTATGGGGCACAAAATATTTCCTAATACCAAGCAAAATTTATAATCTATAGTGAAAGATCAAAAGCTGCCTCAACAGTATCACATGAAAGAAGAAATGTTTCACTTAAGGAGTCCAGGTGTGTTATTCACAAAGTTCATCTGTTTTGATGGGATGAGCTGGAGGTGGCAAGGTGGTTGTGCTGTAACAGCTTTTCTGCATATTGAAGGTTTGCTCTACAACACAACAGTAAGTATGAAAACGGTGGCCTTTTGCTCAGACCTAAATTTGAACCTGATGAAAAGGGTGCAGATGACATGGAGAGAAATGTAAATGCAGACTTATTTTAGTTTAAACTTAAAATAATCTATAGTCAAATAGTATGTAATGTAGATAACTGCCTCTCTCTCTCCCTTCCTTTTCAGGTGGCCATGGTGGAAGTTCAGCTCGACGCAGAACACGACTACCCTCAAGGGCTCTTGATAGCCTTCAGTGCCTGCACTACTGTCCTTGTTGCAGTTCACCTTTTTGCACTCATGATAAGCACCTGCATTCTTCCAAACATAGAGGCTGTCAGCAATGTGCACAATCTCAACTCTGTCAAGGAGTCTCCTCATGAGCGAATGCACCGGCACATCGAGCTCGCGTGGGCATTTTCTACTGTCATCGGGACTTTGCTCTTCCTTGCAGAGGTGGTGTTACTGTGCTGGGTGAAGTTTCTTCCTTTAAAGAAGAAAACTGATAATACCCCGCAGGGCAACAGTTCTACCATCACGTCAGGACAGGCAGCAGCCATTGCATCCACATCTATTATGGTGCCCTTTGGATTGATTTTCATTGTGTTTGCAGTCCACTTCTACCGGTCACTGGTGAGCCATAAAACAGACAGGCAATTCCAGGAGCTGAATGAACTGGCTGAATTTGCACGGCTGCAGGATCAGCTGGATCACAGAGGTGATGCTGTCTCCTCAGCCGTTACCAATTTTGCGTAAACCTGTGCTTCAGGAAGATAACCCCACTGTTCTGCTTCTGCCTTACATTGACTCCCTGTGGATGAACGGGTTGAACTGCTGATCACTGTTTGAAGAGAGATTATAAATATTGTTCTAACCCTTTAAAGAAGGAATAAAAATGTTCCTTTTGTGCAGTTTTTGCTATCTGAAGGAAGGGATGGTGGGGTGTGATTGCACTGTGCGTGCAGCCCTCCTCCTGTGAACACTGTCTCGCTTATTTTCTCATTAATGCTGAATGGTGGCTGTATAAATACATGGAAAATAACATTGTACATTTGGGTATTTGCTAGGGATGGGTAGAGAAGTTGTTGGGGTTTTTTTTCTCTGTTTATTTGATGTTGGCATTTACTAGAAGATACTGCTTGTCCGATCCATATTGCATGGCATGATACAAATTACTTGGGACATGCAGCAATTAGCACTTGGTTTTGGTGCTAGTGCTGCTCTCCCTGGAAAGCCTGACAGATGGTAGGAGCGAGAGCTTTCCCACCACTTTCCCCAGTATGTTTTGCTGCCAAGTAATTATTACTTTACTGATTTCTCCAGCGCCTTTTTCCCGTGGCACTTACACATTTTATAACTTGCTAAACACCCCGGACTAGTCTTACTGTGATGTGGTGTGGCCACATGAGTAGGAATGAGACTCGACTCTTCCATGGAAGAAAATAAGAGCAATAACTGTTTTTAAAGTTCTCATGAGCTGGCAGATATTATCTGGAGAGATAGATCTACCTGTTTCTCATTTAGGAATCTTTTTTTAAAAAGGAGGAACTAGATGGAAATGATCACTGGATAATTTTTTTTTGTTTGAAAATCAGAACCACTGCTGTTTTTTTCCAAGCCAAAGTAGTAATTATTTTATACTTTTATATTGAAAATATATTTTTAATAAATCCTCAGATACAAGCAGCAAAAGGTGCTTTCTCTGTGTTGGATTCCCAAGTAATTAGCTATGCCTTGGTCTTCCTTGTTTAGAAAAGTCTTCTTGCTGAAGTGTTGTATATTTAATAACTCATTATACATTTTTTGATTCCAGAGGAATCTGGAAGGCAACTCTTCTGGATGTATATTTATTTATGAAAGTAGGTTGTTTGTAATTAATATTGGCTGCTTACTTTCAGACACATCTGTGACAGCAAAGCTACTGTGTCATTCTTTATTTCCTCTTAAGGCAAAAACTTCCATTTGGTCTCCTAGATAAGAAGTTTGTTCAAGAAAGTTTGCAGCAGTTGTCCTGGGCTGCTTCAGTAATTGTGGCTATGTCTAGGAATGGGATTTTTTGGAATACTGTTCTTCTAGGGAGTGGCTCTGGGATTTAATAGGTAAAAGCTGTTTTTTGAACACAAACTGAGACAGGTTTCAAGTCTAAGGGAAGAAACTTGAGCTCCCTGTCGTAGCTGTCACTGTGGAATGGAAACCTGGGATTTTGACCTGAGACAGGAGTGACTGTGACAGGACAGTGGATTTGTACCTGACAGCCTGGGCTGAACCTGGTCTCACCAACCTCCATCTGGGGTTATCCCAACATATTTACAAACTGCAGGATGTGCCTGTGGAGTTTGGGTGCAGAGTGTGGTTGCTGCTGCAGGAGCCTCTGAAGCAGATGGAGTTGATCTCTCCTGTCAGCAGCACCGCAGTGCAACGTGTTGACAAGGTCACCCGTGGTGCCTTTGTATTGTCACAAACAACTATAAAGAAAAACCTGCTGGGCTGTTCTTTTCAGCAGCAGTCTCTGTTCACAAGCAGCAAACAGCTTTGCACTTGCTGTTTTCACAAGTCCTTCTGGCATACAGAGGCCAAACTGGATTTTCTCAGCTCTGCCATTACGTTGTGCTTCAAATCTGTTCTATTCCTGATGTAAATCTGATGCTGAGGATTGTAACTACAGTCCCACAGGTGCTCATTCATGGAGCACAGGAAGGATTTTGTTAGTAAAGGCATTAAGGAAGCAGCATTCCAAAACAGAAAGTCTTGGTGATAGGCACAAAATGTATTTTCCCATCCTTTACTGGAATACTAGTCCTGTCTTGGGGAAAAACTCTTAAAACCTCTCAGTAAAAGAAGAAGACCTGACTCAGTATTCACACTTGAGCAAAGGGTGCTGTCAGGCTTAAAAATTGTACTTCTGTCCATCAATTGTGTATGTAAAAGTTACACAGTTCTGAATGAAGCCCAGAACATCAATTTTCCAAGTTTACTTTGTAAAAATCACTTGCTGTCCTGGATAAGTAGCTGAATTTCCCGTTGTTTTGTTAATCTTTTACAAAGTGCCAGAAAAGTATGGATTTTTGGTGGTTATTTTTGTTTAGGAGATACAGACTTCAAAGCTAGTGGGACAACCTTATTTTTAACTTTCTCAAACTGGTAGGCCCTGAGCTAGTGGCACTGTTATTACAGCTGCTTTTCTGACTGTTTGCTGCACTTTAAGCCATGATATCGAGTATGTTTCTCTCATTTTTCACCTGTGGAAATGGTCATGAAAGTTACACCTCGGGTACCTTTGTCACTGTGTGCCCAGGCAGTAACCAGACACAAACACGTGGATCTAAACATTAAGAGTGCACTTAAATTTTTTTTTTAATCCCTTATTTATACTAACGGTGTTAGGAGGCATTTACCTCAAGCATTTTAAACATTGGTTATTGTATATCACTTGTTTAGATATAAAATACTTTCATGAAATAAAATCTACTTAATTGTTGCTGATTGTTTGTTATCTAGAGGCCTAAGGTATACTTATTAATTGAAACATGATCTGTTGTAACTTCAAAAGCCATTTTGGGTCACAGGTATGTATTGGGTTAAGTTTGGGGGGAGTTATTTGATTGTACTTTTCTAGGGCCTTGCTTTTATAGCAGATACTAAAACCCCTCATTCTCTGAGGCAAAGACCTTGAAACCAAGAGGAGTGTGATTTCTTTACAGCAGGAGTAAGTCAGAGGAGCTGAGCAGAGTCCCCCTGCCTGTCTTCTAGCATTTTGCTGCTCGTGGTTTTTCTTTTTTTTTTTCCTCTTTAATTTTTTTCCTTTCTTTTCCAAAGTAATGGGGGTGGGAGGAGGCTACTGAGCAAAGCCAGCTGCAGAGTGAAGTGTACCTGAACAGCCTTGAGGGAAGAGTGAAGCAGACCATGATACACCACAGTGTGGATTTGACACTCAAATGAATACATAACTCAGCACTGTTCTTATCTTACATCTTTTCTTTTTCTTCAGCTTCCAGTTATTAATTATTGCTGTCATCAAGCAGTGCCTGGGCCTCTGCTAAAACACCAGCTGGATCATTTAGTTCAATCTAAATAAAAAGAATACAAATCAGTTATGCAGTGTAGTTGAAAAAGCTTAAGGTTTTATAGATCTTTATTACTCAAGCATTCACAGAGGGTCTCCCATGTATCAGGACTTAGTTCATATTGCAGCCTTTCAATTATTGTTTTAGAAACACTGCTACACTTCCCTAATTTTATTAATGTGTTGAACATCACTTCATCTCCTTGAAATAGCTCTGTGTGGAGTGGCTGAGTCTCCTTTAACTAAACACATTCTTGGACAAAACAAGAGTGGCTTTGATTTGTAGCCTGTTGGATCTCATAATTTTTAAGGAGTGTGTGCGTGAAAAAGTTTATGAGCATCTGTTAACTTCCTTCATACTCTGAGATCAACAGCTCTCTACTGATTAAAAGCACAATAACAGCAGTGAAAGTTGATGCTTTCTTTTTGCACCTAGAGCAGCAGAGAACTGGGTCATCCCTTGGTCTTCAGGGAGTTAAATAAACAGTCAGACTTGCACATTCTGCCTTAGCCCACCAGCATTTCATCCCAGTCTGTTGGGTTGTTGAGGCTGTTCTGGGTGACCTTTGACAAACCACATAAGGTAAATATTTTTAGCTACAGAAGTGCTGCTCCTTTCACTCTTTTTGAAAAATAGAGATTGTTTTTCCCTGGTGGGTATTTGGGGTTTATTACTCTACACTGCTGTGGGCGTGCCTGGTACTTACAGGATTAACTGGCTTATCAAAACCATCTCTGCTCAAAGGGCCCTTTGCTACAGAAACCAGATTTGAAAAAATAGGGGCAGCGAAGGTGTAGCAGCTGTGAGCTTTGGAAGGCTGCACGTGCCAGGTATCATTTGCAACAGCCTTGTCCCCAGGGCAGAGGAAGGTAGGTGGCTTTACCTGCTTATGGGGCTGTGCTATTCCCAGTGTTCCTGGAGCAAAGCAGTGTGCTGTGGTTATCCAGGGTGGTTCTGCTTGGCTCCAAGAGGAGCTTCCCCACCCCTTCCTGCAGTAACCATCCCCTGGAAATGTGATGCCTTTGTGTTCAAGCTGAGACTCTTGGCCAGCTGTGTCACTTGGAGCCACATCTGTTCACTACTGGCTCCCATTCCCTGTCTTCCTTCGAGGGCAGAGCAGGGGAGAGGCTCTCCTGCCCTCTGGCTCTTTTACCAAAGTGATGTGCAAGGACCTGGTGGCTACCAAGTTGAGAGCCCAGTGTGTCTGAGTGTCTCCCCAAGTCTTTGGGATGGGGACAGGCACTGACTTTTCCTCAGCAGTGTGTCAGTCATGGGAAAGGGGAGCAGAGGATGTTGGCTCTGGGACCAGGTGGGAAGCTGCACACACCCCGCTGCCTCTGGGGCTGCTGGACACAATGAGCTCCTGACTTGGAGTACCCAGGCAGAGGAAAGAGCTGCTGTGAGCCCTGCAGCTGCCCAGGGTTCTGTAGGGTCTGCTCAGCTTCAGCAGTTGGGCTTGGGGAAATCATTTGGTTTTGACGCAAATCCCACAATTGTCTCTGCCTCTATTGTCCCCGTTTCCTTTGTGCTGCCTCAGGTCTCTGAGCAGTTCTGGTGCATGAGAACTGCATTTTTTCAGATGTAGGTGATTAGGAGGCTCCAGCGGAGGCTGGATGAGCTGTTTGTCCCTATGGGGCCCTTGAGGACACTGCTGGCCAAAAGACACTGAGCACACACCCTGTGAGTGCAGAATCCCACGGGGGTAATCACTGGAGGAGTGAAACGCTACCTGGAGAGCTGATCCAAGTGCTGATGGATGCAAACACTGAAATTTCCAAGCAATTACCTTTGGGATTGGATACTGAGTAGGGGCCGGAGCTTTGTCTCTATCGAAGTCAACCAGAACTCCACACTTTGCTATATCTTCTGCCCAGGTGCCCTCTAACAACTGTCCCTTTTCCACGTAAAAGTATCTCCCTGGGCCATTCTTCTTTCCATCTTTCCAACCTCCTTCGTACCGATTTCCATTTGCTGCAGTTAAATACATGAACAGACCATTTTGTTAAGGGGTTACAAATGAAAACAATCAACAGAGCAAACTGACAGAGAAGGAGGTGGTGTATTTGGCTTCTCTTAGTAATTTCCAGGGGGCTGCAGCACAGTGTGTCATTTTGCTTTTGCAGTGCTCTGTTTGCTGCGCTGCAGAGGGAGAAAGGGCTGTGGAAGGAGCCCACGCTTGCCCAGCTGGAACAAAAACTGTGTTCACCTGCTTTGTTCTTACAGTGATACTCATTTTTTGCTGATACACCGAGCAAGTGAACTCAGGGTAAGGGACTGGTCACTGAGTCGCTCCTCACAATGTGAAAAATTACAGGACACAAGTTTCAGATTTGTCACTGCAACAAATCACACAGGATCTCTGGCTTGAAGAGAGGAGTTTGCTTGTCTGGGCAAGGAACAGAGCACTGACTGCTGTCCAGGCAAAATAATCTTGATTTCAAAGAATACTTGCAGTTAGTTTTTCCTCAATGAATTAAGGCTGAGAATTGCTGTGAGTGTCTGAGCAGTTCAGGCAGTTACAGACTCTTTTTCCAGCTGTACTGCTTCTCCTGGCGTTTTTCTGCAAGTTGAGAGAGGTTATTTTTGGGCTCTGTGCTACTCTCCAGGAATCCATCCATCCATCACCAACAGGGAAAGCAGAGCTGCAAGGACAGGAGAGCAGCTTCATCCATGGATGCTGGTTGAGAAGCAGCATCATAACCACAGTGATGCTGGGATACCTCAAGGCCATCCTGCTGTCACTGGGAGAGTCCTCTGCTCTCCCCTTTGCCTACATGTAGTGTTTCTAAGCCCAAAACCATGGGAATTTCTGATAAATTAGTGGAAGTACCTTTGAGTCTCAGCTGAACTCTGCTGTTCTTCATGACAAGAAGTGGCTGAAATACCAGGGCACCCTGCATGGTGCTGCAGAGGTAGCTGGGGCCTGCCAGAATGCTGTAAGGAGGAAAAACCAAAAATGCTTCTTTGGAGTGTGGCTGCCTGGCTGCTCAGGCAGGGTCTGGTTTACAGGTTGGAGCTGTGGTGGTGGTGATCTGCAACTTTGATCTGGTTTTGTGCTTATCTGCAACACCAACCTGCCCTGCCCAGTGGTAGGAGCAGCTCAGCTCCTGCACTCCGGCCAACAACAACTGAGAAACCACCAAAATCACAGCCCTGGCTCTAATGGAGGGGGTATGGAATGCCCTGGCTGCACCGTGGTGTCCAGCTGCTCCCATCCCCTCTCAGAGCACCCGAGGCTGTGTGCTCACTGCTGTGATCCCAGTGGACATGCTCCATTCGGGAATGGCCGTGGCAGAGGTGGCAGAGCAGTGCGGCGCTCCCAGCCGAGCTCACCCTCGCCGGGCACGCTGCCACTACAGGCAATTTAATCTTGAGCTGCAGCTCATCGTGACCTCCACTGGAGAACTCCTTTTCTTTCACATCGCAGAGCTGCCGGCACGTGGGCACCCCTCCAGCACTGAGCCGAATGCATGAGGCTTGTGGGTATGAAATAATTGCTCTGGCTAATTTTAACCAAAAGGAATCCAGCTCGCAGTCGGTTGCAGGCAACGCTGGAGGCAACGGGGCTCTGAAATGGTGCATCAGCCACGGCTCAGCCCCCAGGGGCTGTTAGTTTATGACTAACAGGGACTTGGATGGGAGAGCAGCAGATCAGGAAGGTTTCTCCCTGGAAGCAGGTGCTGATTTCATCCGGATGGGCCATTGATCCGAAGTGCCTGTGATGTGCAGTGAAGGTCATGCCCATTCCTCCTAGCTGCTTTGCTTAGCTAGTTACTAGTATATGAGATCACTTTTAAGCAAAAAAATAGAATAGATGAACACTAATATGGAGATATTATTTCTTCAAATGTTCTTGGAATGTCATGCCTTGTATTGCAAAGGACTGGGATTCTTGGCTTCAGGGAAAAATGTGTTAAACTCCAAAGAAAATATGGGGAAAAAAATTTCAAATTTCTGTATTTATGATGAGATTGCCCCTAATGTTCCAAATCCATGATGTGCTTGGTGTTATTTATGGAAAAGGATTCTGTACGAATGAAACCCCTGTGTTCACTCAACATGAGCCGCTGTCGGAAGTAAGAGAGGGGATGGAGTGAACTCAGCAAGAAAATTCTCTGTTGTTTTTTTTTCCCTGTGGTGGAAACTGGACTCCTCTTTGGTATGCAGAGCTAAAAAGTCTGTCTGGCAAAGTGCCTGGCTTGAAAAGAGAGATTTGCTCTTCTCTGACCCAACAGTATATTATCTCTAACCCGAACCATCCCAGTCATTTAAATGTAAATCACAGCAAAAATAAGCTTTCATGTGTGTGGGCCTGAGCAACGCCGGCCATCAGACAGCCTGTGCTGCCTCTAGCCCCAGACCAGGAGGGGAGGGATGACCTGGAGCAGCCACAGCCCTGCTGCAATGCAAGGAGCATCCAGAAACACCAAATAGCTTGAAGGGGACAGGCAGGTGTCCGGTACTTACGGAGCTGCAGCATCCCCTGCCCGTTGGGCTGATCCCCCTCCCACTGTCCCTCGTAGCTGGATCCATCCAGGTAGTACATCCGTCCCCAGCCGCCCCGCACTCCATCGCTCCACTCGCCCTCGTAGCGCTCCCCGTTGGGGTAAAAGAACACCCCCTCACCCTGGACAGAAGCACAGAGATAGCTGGTGAGGAGCTGTGCTGTTGAAAGGGGTCAGTGTCCAATTTTGGGACATTTCTTTGATACACTGTTCCTTTGTTTATTACTCTTACACATGTGGCAGCCCAGCTCACTGGCTGTTTGTGTGCTGAAGGAAACCAGAGGTGGTAGTATGGGATTTTTTTTGGCAAATGGTTTTATTCCCATGAAAAACTCTTGGGTTTATGTCTCAGTGTGTTTTTATTGGCATGATTGCTGCTAATATTTAGCTAAAAGCGAGTTTTACTAGTATATAAACCTGCCTGGGGATAGGCAGCATTAAAGGATGTGTCTCTCAACATGGGGATTTCATCCCTTTCAACACTGACAACACTTCCTGCAGCCCAATGTGTCCCAGCCTGGGCAACTCCATCCCTTGTTTGTCTTACATGTGTGTTTGCCATTAAGAGAAGTCCAGAGGTACCCCCTATACCAGGGAGTTATACCAGTAAGAAATATTTCCATATCACTAATGAGTTTTCCCATAGGAATAAAGTGTTAATTTATCTCTGAACAAATAATAAAATCAGTTCTGGAAATAACTGATTTTGAGTATTAATTTTACTAAACTAAATGTATGTAAAGGAGAAACTTTGGTAGAAGAAAAATCACCCCTTGTGATACTTGGATATCATTACAAATCTTTCCCCCAAGCTCAATTATCCAAAATATAACTAGAAAGAACAGGAGGGGAAGCTCCCTCTGAGAGACTGGAGTCACACACCAATTACAGGCGTTGGTGGCGATTAGTTTAATTTAAGAGCAGACACAAAGGCGAACGCAAGGTTTCCATTGGCAGATCCAAAACTGTTCCTACAAGGATTTGCACATGAGATTGCAGTCATTTCTACCAGATGACTTTCTCATTGTGTTCCTTTTAGAAAAAACAGTGATTTACATGACAGGCTTAATTTCCAAAAGAACTCATGTTATTTGTCTAATACGCTGTAAAAGTCCCAGAAGAAGGTACATTTTCCTGCAGCATTTATAATACAGGTTCCTCCAATTCCTTCAAGGATAAGAGGAATGAAAGGGATGGGTGGGGGGGATTAAGAGGTGGGATACAAAGCCTCTCATCCTACTTGGCCAAGCTGCAGGTGAGTCTGAGCAGTAACCACTGCTCTGCAGCAGCTGGTTGGGGCTGTAGCCCAGTAACCAGTGTGTGAGTGGGATGAGCCCCTCTGCAGCAGGGAAATGGCACTCCCATAAAAATCATGGGTTTTTACTCTCGACCATTCAATTCAGCCTCAGTATTGGGAAAATTAGTATTTTACGTGATCTTTTTGCACATGTGCACCCAACCCTTCCCTGTGTTTTGGGTCACATTGCCTCACTGCTGGCACGTGCAGGAAATCTCACTTACAGTTCTCTGGCCGTTTTTCCACCAGCCTGTGTACACCCTCTTGTATTCCTTGGTTACAGGGTCAGGAACGCTGTATGAGCCATAACCATCCTGCTTCCCAAACTTCCAGTCACCGCTGTAAATAGCTCCGGTGCTTTTCCATATCTGGGTGCCTTTACCTGTTTAACAAAAAAAGGAATGCTGCAGAGTTTAGGAGAAGGGTGTCCAGGGCTGCCTTCCTGTTCCATCTGAGGTGGGGCAGCTCTCCCTGCACCAGGTCAGGCTCAGGTCTGGGATTCAGTTTAGCTTCCCGAGTCAGAACCATCGTTAATCTTGATCAGGGGCTTCCTGTGTGGCCTTTGCTAAATGCACTTAAATCTTTCCAAACCTCATTTTTCTGCTTGTAAACAAGTCTGTCCTGCTCCGGCTGCTCAGGGCTCGGTCAGGGTCTCCTTCCCCTGCTCTGTCTCCTGCAGCACCCGCCACAGCTTGAGGATAAATTAAGATTCCTGAAGCCAAGTCAGGAGCTGAGAGAGCTGCAGGGACTGTGCAGCCAGGGCACATCCCAGTGCATGGAGCTCACTGCAGTTTGCTGTGTTTGGAGAGGATTTTTAAATATCCATAAGAGAGATATTCTGGGTAATTGCCCCTGAGTGCATGCAAAAGCTCTTCAAGTTACCTATTAGAAATGTCTCTGAGTGCATTTTTACATTACATATATCAAAGATATATATATATATATAGTCATACAAGAATGAATGCTCTTCCAGGAGCATATAGAACCACTGACTGCTCCCTGACCTTAGAAACCTTTCTAAGGACATTTAAATTGGTACCTTTCCTCAAAATTATGTATCTTACCATGTTTCAAGTTGTCCAGCCATTCTCCAGTATACTGATCCCCATTTACAGCATAAACTGTGTGTCTTAACCCACATTTCCGGGCTTTCCTGTCCCATTCGTAATAGAGGGGCTCTCTAGCCCTGGGGTACTTTACAATGGGCATATTGCTGGTGTCTGGAGAAAAAGACAAATGATTATCAGAAATAAATTAGAGAGAAATTACTAAGGCAGGTACGGGCAGAACAGTATTTGTGAGCTATGCCTTAAGATGCAACTGAGTCAGTAACTGATGCCTGGCTTTGGAGGGGTAAAACAGAGATATAACAAACAGGAGGGAACTAAAAATACTGAAGTACAAACCAGCACCATGTGAAAATGGGCTTGTAGCACTGCTTGGCCTGTTAGGAAATGTTAAATAAATCTCAGCAGGTCAGGTTTGTGGTGGTCAGTGGTCTCTGCACCTGCCAGAGGTCTTGGGGAGTGCAGGGAAGGGCATCTCCTTCTCCATACAACCAATGGAATGGGTCAGGGTGTTGTCCAGTGTCCCTGAGGTCCACCTGGAGCTGGGACACTTCATACCTGCAGCAGTAATGCAGCTCAGGCTCCTTTACTGCTAAAAATAACTGTCCTGCAGGTGTCTGTTAAAAGGGGTTGAAACCACAATGTTTCTGTCTCCCAGGAGGCTGCAGACTCGCCCAGGGCAGGCCAGGCACTCGCCAGCTGATCAAGCTGCTAAGGAGGGGACTTCTGAGGTGACATGGGGTTAAAGCATGAACAGCAGGCAGGGGGTGACGGGTACAGATGGAGGTGATTCAGGTGTCAGAAGTCCAGAGGGAAAGGGTCAGCATGGGGGAAGAGGAGGGAGAAGATGTATTGGCCCATCAATACAGAGAGGAGAATGGTGGAGTGCAGCACGGTGGTGATTTCCGGGCACTGTTCAGCGCAGTGGGAATTCCGGCACAGACTCGGAGGTGAGAGTGGTCTCCTATAAACCATAAACAAACGCCAAAAGGTGGCTGTAGAAACAAAAGCAAGTTTTTGTGAATGCCGTCAACATCCAGAGCTCGGCTGGAGCCCGGCGGGTTGGGACGCCTCCGAGTTTGTCTCCGGGGCTCCCCCTTCTGTCCTGATCCGCTGGATTGAGCCGTATGAAGTGATTTCGCCGCGCGACAGAGCAGAGCTCTGGTTCCTGCTGTGCTGGGGGTGTGGGGAGCCCGGCATGGGGGAAAGTGTGGAACCTGGGAGGAGAGGGAAAGGAAGGTACTTCAGGTCCTTGCTAGGGAATAAAAAATAGAAATTATAACTAAGAAAATACATTGGTGCTCATCCTCAGTTCTCCACACAGCTGTGGGAAATGGTCATTTGGGGGGGTATCATTGCTGAAGAAAGTACTTTATGTGTCCAGGATGAGCCTTCCTACCCAAAATGCAGCTGAGTTGTGCAGTGCCCATCCCACTTGGCTCCTTACCGTGGGGCTGTGGGGAGTGCAGGCAGGGCTGGGGAACCTGCTGGGGCACTGCACGGTGAGCTCAGACCTGGGAGGGGTAAAGGTTCCAACCAGGTTTCTGTGGGAGGCTGAAGAGCATCTTGGTTTGAGGACACCGAGGACAGGATCGGTCACTCGGTGCGATGGAGTCACAGTCCGCTGCAGAGGATGGTATTTCAGCAATATAAACACAGGATACACCACAAGTAATGAGTTCCTCCCTCACCTTTGGGTGCTGCAGCCCCTGGAGAGGGAGGTTCTTGGCAGTATTTGCCAAGGGCTGAGAGTTTGCAGGACACAGAGCCACATGTTGCCTGCTTGCGTCTGTCCTCCTCTGGCTGGGGGAGAAGAGCCAAGCTACAGCTACTTGCACCCACCCCAACACCGGCTCTGACGAGAAATCTTTTCACTATCCCTGCCAGATGGGAGCATCACTCTCCCACCACCGCATCCGACCACTTCAACTCAAAGCTTAGGATTTACAGACTCCAGGGAGGATTCCCAGCTGCGGGGGCAGTCCCAGCACCCCTCCATCTGCTCGCCAGGCTCTCCGAGGCACAGCCCGCGCAGAGCACCCGGGGTAATGCGGTCTGTCGGGACGCGCCTCTATTTGCTGAATCCCCTTCCAAATTTACGTCAGCGATGCCAGGTTTGCGTAAGTGATAACGCAGTCGGTATTCGCCGCCCTGGATGTTTTAGCCACCTACTACAAGGGCGCGGGGAGGCAGCGAGAGGCAGGCGCTGCAGAGCCGCTCCGGCTGCAGCTCTCCGTGCCAAGGTCCAGAGGCTCTGCCGCCGCCGCTGCGCTTGGGGCCGAGGCTCTTACAGACCCCCGCGTCCTCCTCCAGATGCTGCTCTGCGAGTTTTGCCTGGTCTCCGGTAAAACGCAGCTTTAGTTTGCATGGCCCTACAGGAAGCCCATTTTCTCCCTTGGCTCTTCGCAGAACTTCAGAGCAGTGCGATTGAGCTACAAATACACCTTTTTTTTTTCCCGCCTTACATCTTAACGAATAGCAAGAGGGAAACACACCTTGCTGCAGAGAAGCGGCTGCTGACTGTCCCTGGCAGCACCCTGCCTGCCACCGCACCGTGTCCCCTTGTGCACCCTGCCTGTCACCCGGCCCCGAGAATGTCGCGGCTGAGCTCAGCCCTCGCAGTGACCCAGCCCCACGGCGCTGCCCTGCACCGGGGTCCCTTTGCCAGCTCCCTCCGGCGCAGCGGAGCCACCCCAGCCCCTGCTCGCCCCCGCGGCGGTGCCTGCGAGCGGAATGCCCCGGGCGCCTGTCGCTGCTCCTGCCCAGCGAGAGCCGGGCTCCGCGGGGACAGCCCCTGTGCGCCGTTCGCAAAGCACCCTCGCGTCCGGCCCACGCTGTCCTGCCGCCCCCACCCCGAGGGTCAAACCGCGGGCACCGACCTGTGCTGGTGCCCGCCGGGCGCTGCCTGTTGCAGCGGCGGGGTCGTCATAGCAACGTGCCAAACTCCTGCGCCAAGGGCCGCGGGAGCAGGGCCGGGCAGCGAGCGGAGCCGCTCCGGGCGGACGGGGAGGGCGGTGGGACACGAGTGGTCACACTCTGCTCCCCACGGATGGAGCCGGAGCACACCCCGCGCTCTGGAGCTACGTGTCTTGAGTTCAGGATTTTCCAGCAGAATATAAAGTGCTGATAAGCAACGGGTGTTTCACCTCTGGTTGGTTTTTCATGCGCCCGGCAGCAGAAGGCTTGAAATAAGAGCACTGATTACAGCACTGATGGGTAACAAATAAATCAGCCTTGAAAATGTCAGAGGAAAGGAGAAACCCCCTGAAAATGCACATCAGAGGTCTTGAAGGAGAAATCTGAATAAACCTGACACTAATTCCCTCATCCATTACATTTCTTCCACAGCCACAGTGAGCAGGAATTGCCATTATGGCCTTGTGGGTGTCTGTAATAATCTTCTCTAATGGGTAATTAACTGTGCACATTTCTAGTATAAAACCAAAGGTCTCCTATGACTCCCGTGAGCCAAATGCATTTGATTCTCGTCCTTTTGCCACATTTTTCGTGCACAGCTCTGCAGCCTGGATGGTTAAAATGTTAAGGTAGGCGGGAAATCTTGTGATGAAAACAAAGCAGCCGCCTCTGTGGAGGTGAGACACAGCCTGGTCTTCCCTGATGGGTGTTTGTTTGCCATCTTCAGTGAATGTAGCATTGAACGTGGCTTAAATGTTGTGTCCATGCTCAGGCAGGACAGAGGGATGGACTTACCCCAAATGTGAGTGTGACTGAAGGCAAATATTCCATTTCCCATGCTGCATGTGAGGGCCATGGAGCCAGAGGAGACAATGCCACTGCCTGGGAAATCAAGTGGACAAGGCAAATGAAGTGGCTGGAGGGAAGAGGTGCTCCAGAGCCAACAAAGGAGCCAGTGTGGAAATGATGGAGGGAGATCTGTACCACGGGAAAAGACAAACATGGAATTTCTGGTGCTGGATTAGATGAATTGGAAAGATGGCAGCTGCCATCCGGGAATGTAGGAGAGGTGGAACTTACAGACTTCTTAAAGCAGGAGAACCAGAAATAAAACTATGGAAGTTGACCAAGTTAGGAAACACTTATACATGAGAAAATGTTTCCTGTTTTTCAAAATGAGATGAAGATATTCAGGAAGGACTTACTGCCACTCATTCATGTTAACACATTCTGGTCTGGGGCAGAGCCCAAGAATTACTGAAGACAATCATTCCTGTGTTTGACTGTGGCCAGTTGTAAGGGCTGGAGTGGGGAACAGGGATTTGGGGAGGAAATGAGAAAAACCCATGAGGGAGAAGAAAAATTGCTTATTGCAGCCCAAAAGCTACAGCCTTAAATTACAACCAAAAATAGCCCTTCTTGGAAAAGTGTTAATTATTTTTAATATTTCAGCCCCTATATTTCACTGCACTTAACTGAGAAATTGGCAATTAAGATAATTAGCTAATTCAGACCATTTCACTTGTTTATTTTTAAACAGCACAGGCTGCCTAAGGTTTTTGAACTGCAAGTCCAAACTGGGCCTCACTTAACCACAGCTTTTACTAACCAGAAGTGATATACATATTTGAAACTCAATATACATTTGGAACCAATAAAGGCTTTTAAAAAATTAAAATATTTTAGCAACAAATCAAAATGCACAAATCGGGATCAAACATTGCCTCTGAGAAAATCTCTGTGTCTGGATATGATGGAGGGAAATGGTTGGTGATGCCTCAATTTCTGGGTCACTTATTTTAAATCCTTCTGCTCCAGGTCTTTGTGTGTTTGTTATTTTAGTTCCATGGTCCCAGAGTGGGTTATCACAGACCCTCCTGCTCCCACCAAGGAGGCTTCACAGAGACATTTATCTGGGAAGAGGCTGTGTGTGATTCCCATTTTCTTAGTCCAGGTAGGAATATCTGAATCACACTTAATTATTTTGTCACTTGTTAATATCATTCTGTACCTTTTTGTATTACAAGGGTACAGAGTGGGGAAATGTAAGGGTATTCTTCTCATAAAAAAGGCAGAATTAGACCAGCTTGAAGAGAAGGTGGTGATATTTGAAGCTTTATCAGAACATTCTTTTGACTCACTGAACATTTGACTTAGAAAATGTCATTCCATTATGAGAGAAGGAACCCTGTTAGTAAGTAGGAAGTGGGCATAGTTTTCATGAGAGGTGCCAGATATCTAGAATATATAATTCAGTTAGAGAGTGAGATATAAATCTGAACTGCTCCAGAAATGCCCTAACCAAACCTCTTCCTCTCCCAAGAGCAGTCTATCAAGGCACAACATTGTAGCCACTATGATAAGTAGGGTCAAAATCCAAGTTATAAAGTGCTAGGAGGATAATTTGGGTTTTCCTTCATCCAATTCTCCTTGTTCTGGCTTTTCCAACAAATATGGCCCTTCTTGGCTGGGTTTTATTTTTGTGTGTGTGTGTGTTGTTTTTTTTTCTGGTTTCACTCTCACAGACTTTGGTCATTGACACCAAGATCACCAGCAAAGCCTCCTTCACCAGGGCATGACAGGGCTTCAGTTCTGTTACTGTTGGCACCGTTGTTGCTCCAGTTGTCTGGCAGTTGATTAAACCTTACATTTATTAAGACTGAAAGGAAGCTGTTAAATCCATCCATGTAAATTATGCTCTAACTCAGCCCATTATTCTGCCAACACCGTTCATTGCAATGGACTTTCAGCTCTCCACTTCCTTCCAGGATGGATACAGTGAAGAGCAAACCAAGCACTGGAAGGATGTGTGTGGAAACATGCCTGGAAATACACCTTTCTGGAGCAAGGCCCCGTGACATCTTCATTTTTTTAATTCTAAAGAGTAAGATTAAAAAAAAAAGCAATAAAACTAAAGGCCCTCAGTATTCTACATCTGAAACCAATCATTCTTGCACTGAAAGGAGACAGCTGCTCTGAGCTGAGTTTGCTCTCACAAAGCTTGGGGAATCACCCAAGTGAAATGCCCAAACCAACTGAAAACTGTCAGAATCAATAATTTAAATTTATTCTGGGAACTTCGCAGAATAAATAAAGAAAAAGCATGTAGAGAAACATATGTTGGAATTCTTTAAAGGTGAAGAATGTGACAACAACATACTGTGGAAGTAGGATGCTCAGATGTGTGTTTTATTGCTGCTACATTCAATAGAAAAGCCAGAGGAAGAGGTGGGAGGGTCTTGGACTCCAACCAAGCTTGTGTCGGGTGTAGCCGGATGAGCAGGGAGTGGGTGCAGTGCTGAAGGAGTTTCCCCACCACTCTGCTTTTAGGAATTGTTATCAGCAGGATTTAGGAGGGACTGAAGTGAAAGGTTTGAGGTGCAAACTTCACTGGTTGACTCTGGCTTAAGAGGCAGCCTTGTGGGAAAGCGTTTCTTTAAAACTCTTCCCTCCCTTTTGCTGGGAGAAGCTCTCTCAAGATAAAAACCATGTTGGTTTTACATCAAAACAACCCAAAGTAAGAGCCCTGGGTTATCTGGAATGTTGGAGCACAGCACGTAGATAGTCATGCAAAGTGAAAGGTTGAAGTCCTTGGCACTGACACCAGATACCCTCTCCCCACGAGTTTCTGTTGCTGCAGATTTACAGCTAATGGTCTCTACTTAACTACCTGCAACAAGATAGAGGTTCAAAGGTAGAGTTATGATGTTAATTAGTGAAGTCACCCAAAGCTGATAATTATTTACTATGCAACTGTGGAGCAGTTTGCAGGACTCTCAGTACTGTTGGAGGCAGATAAATTTGGCCATACTTGAGCTACTGCTTCCCTTGAAGTCCTTAATTTGTTCCTTAACTGAGAAATAACTCTAGATGAATACAAGATGAATCAGCAGTATCAATTTCCAGCTGAAACATGAGCCAAGTGTTTTATTTATCATGGCTTATTGTCACCTGATGGTAGAATAGGGACTCATCTGCATTTATATTTTGTTCTTTCCCATTTGCTGTGCTGAAAAGAATTGTATTTCTAGGACAGGGGAAAAGCATCAAAGGAAACAGCCTCAGTTATCTTAAGAGAAAAGAATGAATGGAATTTGCGTTCAGGGTGGAGGAAGGTGAGGGGAAGGAGCTCACATGTATGTATATAACTACGTGTACTCAACAAATCTAACATCAAAAGAACAAACAGTCACAGTTTCACTGTGATCCTTAACTTGATTTATTAACTCAATTTCTTTGATACATTCTCTGGTAGTGAACGGTTGATGAGTTGGGGATTAATTAAGGTAAAGGCAAAGCAGAGATTTCGTGTCTGTAGATCTGCTGTGCAATGGCCTTACATGGTCTCTGGCAGCAGAAAACAGCCACTAAGAAGTGTCAGGATACCTAGAAAAACGATCATAAAATATTCAGATTCAGAGGAAAGGCACCATTCCTCATGTGTTGCCACAACTGAACGACAGGTGAGGTGTGGGAACCCCAAGAACTGCCTGCACAGAGCCCTGCTCCCCATCCAGGGCTGAGAGGTGGGAAGCTGCCAGGGCTCTTCTGGGCCCTTAAAATTCTCTCTCTAAATCCTTAATCCAGCTGCACTTCTATAATAGTCAAATAAGGTCTTTGATTGCCCACTGAGTGCAATGGGTGCAGATATTTAGGGGTGCATTTTAGTTAGATAGAAAATGAAACCTCAGACTCTATTATTCCTGTCTTTCCACAAGCGGAGAATTTTAACTATTTTTTTCCCCAAAATAAACATTTAATTCAGATAGGAAATGTAATGCCCAAAGACTGAACTTTTTAAAATGGTTTTTCTGCAGGAGTTGCTCCTGTAGGCAGAGAGGGACATTGTCCAACACAGCCTGATCAGACACAATTCCTGCTGCCCTTTCAGCATCCCTCCCCTGTGTCCCCAGCCTTGGGATTGGGAAGATCTGACTTAGGTCTGCAATTTAATTACAATCTGTAGTTTCCATTCTTACTGAGTAAAATTATATACACTATAATAAACAAATTATCTAGATCCAGTTAAAAAACCCTCATTGTTATCTTATCTTGCTTTGGTTTTACTCACAAAGATGTGATTGAAATAATGAGATTAAATAAACAGCTACAATCTCCCAGGAAGTGGAGAGAGATTACAGGTAATTCTGAAATCTTTCGTAGTGGTGCAGCATTAAATAATGTAGAACCAGCTGTAAGGCCAACTGTGCTACACTCACATTGTTGGTGTTTAGTGAAATTCTTTCATGTTTTCTGTGTTAAAGAAAATACCATCTCTTGAATGAATATTAACTAGCATGTCTTAGTTAAAAAGTTGAAGGAAATCTTTTGAGGTTATAATTATACACAGCCACAACATGCACAAGAATTGTTCCTTGACCAGAGGTGTAGGGGAGAGGCAGGAAAGTTTGGAATAAAGGTCTGGTGATCCCTTTGTGTTCCGGTAGAGCTCCAGGGCCAGCACAGCTCTGAGTGACAAATGCTCAACACTTCCTGCCTTTGTATACACAGCACCTGCCACAGCCCTAAAGAAATGTCATCAGGCTGCAGAATTACACCCAGGGCAAACATTCGTGCTTGATATTAAGAGTTTTTTCCAGCCCTTTTGAGGCTTATAGCTCAGCAGTGAAAGGCAGAGTTTTAAGGGTTATTTAAAATTTATGATGTATTCTAGAAGTAACTTTCCCTGAATGTCAGGACTGACACAAGTGGTTGAAGTGTTTCTACTTAAATGTTTTTACTTAAAGAAAATAAGGTCCAGTCTGGATTCCCCCAGCTCTTCCTGAGGGTGTCAGCACCCCAATTCCCCTTCAACAGCCAGGAGTAAGATGCAGCTACATCTTTGGGGTGAGTCTGTGATAAACTGAACTGACAGAGTAACTGCAAAGGAGGAGGGAATATTTTCATGAGGGAAGGAGAAATAATTTTGCTGGTAGGGAGTACTCTAACCTTGAGGTGAACTGGAAAGCTTTGTCACATATCCAGCGCAGAATCAAAGCTGTGATCTGAGATGTGATCCTTTTCCTTCCAAACTGTGTAATCCAAAATCCAGGCTTCCTGTAACATAAAGTCTTGTTACACGGGGTTGTGGACAAATGCTAGAATCTGGGGAAAACTTAATGCAGGCATAGGAAATTCCTGTGACATTTTTACTGCATTGATCAGTTTTTTATTCTACTTCAGGATTATCACAACACACATGTTTGATCCCTGGATGATCACGGCCTCACTGGAGGAGCAGCAGTGACAATGGAACATCCCTGAGCTTGGTGGTTCCTAAACCAGCAGAAATCCCCAACCACTGCAAGCTCTGAGCAGGTTTCTCTGGAAACCAGGGAACAGGTCACGGACTGCATTTCAGGTGCCTACCCACACACGTATGAAAAGAACATGCAAAAAGGACATAAAACAAGCAAAGAGTGTGAATATAGACCTAGAGAAGGACCGGGGACAGCAGGAATACTGAGGAGTGTCTCTACACCCAATGTTTTTGGTTGTTTATGCCAAATCCAAGGAAACGGGATCCCACATACAATCCCCATGAAAAGACAGCATTGCACTTGTGTTTTTACTTTGGCTTCACTCCTCCCCTCCCCCTTGTATCATTTTTATTTAATTGCTTCCTTCCCCTTCCCTTTTTTTTCCTCTTTGCCTATTTCCACCCTTTCACAACAAACCCCCATGACAAGAAGCCTTCACATCTCCCAGGCCTCACCCCCTGCCCTGGGGGCTCCACATTCCACTCACCAGCAGCTCCCTGGAGCAGAGCTGTGCCCAGAGGCCACTGTGCCCTGCTCCCAGTTGGCCAGCCCAGCCCCTGAGTGGGTTATTATTGTAATAATAAAGAGATCAGGAATATTCTTGCCCTTTTCTCTGATATTAAGGACCCAGGCCCCAGCCCCAGGCAGCTGCAGGGCTGGGCGGCCTCAGCCCAGGTGTGCAGTCACCTCAGCCAGCAGGTCCTTCAGAGAGGGCTGTCCCTGTGCAGGAATGGTTTTGTCTCCCTTCTCAGCCCCATGTGTGACAACCCACCCCTAAGGGGAAGGAAGGGGAAGGAAGATGCTTCATGGAGCACTTCAGGCGCTACCACAACATGAGAGGACCTGGGAGAGACACAGGGTCCCCAGGAGGTGACTGGGGGGGGGACAGGTGGCAGCAATTGAGGGGAACCCTCACCTGAGGGGGGCATGGGCCTGAGGGGGACCCTCACCTAAGGGGTCCCTCATTGAGGGGATCTCTCCCTTGAGAGGTCACTCAGCTGAAATGAGCCCTCACCTGAGGAGAGCCCTCACCTGAGGAGAGCCCTCACTTGAGGGGTGTCCTCACCTGAGGGAAGCACGGGCCTGAGGTTAGCCTCCCCCTGAGGAGCCCCCTGGCCAGCCGGGAGCCCTCGCCTGGGGTATCCCAGCTCCGCGGGGCCGATCCCTCACCTGCCGGTTCCCTCCCCTGGGGCGGGTGCGCGGGGGTGGGGGCGGGGCGGCGGGTGGCGCGCGCCGCCGCGGGGCCGCGCCCGTGACCGCGCGCGATG